CACTGTATTTACATTTCTTTGATGATTTATATACGGTATATAATTTAACATTGTTAACGGCTATCTTGATTTATATTATACGCAACTATTTGTTTCTAGCCGTACTTATTGTGTAATGGAGTGCCAAATGAATTCAATAAGCCAATCAAATGAACTGTTTTTTTTTAGGCCATCACTGTCGGAGCTACAACTATTGGTGGTATATGGTCCTCTTATGATGACAGATCATCTTTCTCCAACTACGGCAGCTGTGTCGATATCTTCGCTCCAGGTTCTGACATCACCTCAACATGGCACAGCAGCAACACTGCCACCAACACCATCAGTGGCACCTCCATGGCTTGTCCACACGTCTCTGGTGTCGCAGCAGTTCATCTAGGCAACGGTGTCAGCAGAAGAAATGTCAGGTCTAAGATCTTGAGTGATGCCACCTCTGGAGTTGTCAGCAACGCTGGAAGTGGTTCTCCAAACCTCATGCTTTATTTGGCTTAAGTCAGTTATTTTGGACAGGTTTAATTATATGTATTAATATCTCCCTGAACAACCTCCTGTTATGGAGTCACATTTCAGTATTATTATTACGATATAAAGAATTTCATGAATTATGAATAATTATAAAAATGCAATATGGATTTCAAAATGACTATGGTATTGATTATGGAGGATCGGGTTTTTCGTGGTGTTGTATTGCACGACGACAGATGAATGACCGGTATTGAACATATATGATTTGTTGCGCTCAACCAAAAGTCATTCTAGAACATAGAATTTGTAGTTACTTAACTGTAAAATCTTTCATGTAATAAATAAAAAATATAAGAATTATTATGTATGTTGGAATTTATGTTTTTGTACTCGCGTGCGATGACGTGGCAATGGACAGTATGTGGCATGTTAGTGATTCTACCAAACAGAACTTTCCAACTAAAATAAACTTTCCCGGGTGTGATCAGGTCACTGATGATGATGCACGTGTTGTCAAAGATGAAGGATGAGATCGAATAGGGGCTACAGTATTAGCATTGATGTATTTATTAATTAATTGAATAAATGTTAATTGAATTGAATTGAATTGAATTGACAGTGCATACTGTAAGGCGGACGCAACAATCACTGACGCAGGGTTCCGGAACGCCGCCCTCAGCGGCGAGTGCGAAGCACAACTCAGGGTCAAAAGTGGAACGTGAAATTT